TAATTTGTCTATAATGTTAGTATAATTACATGCAAGAGATTAAATGTGACTTAATTATATGGACAAAATATTATGCATATTTATTGAATAATAATTATGGAAGCGAATGGCCCTTTGTATGTAATTAGTTATGAACAAATAAATTGTAGGGAACGTACTTAAAGGGGAAATGGTAGTAACCTGAATTAGGTATACCCTATCCAGATTGTGCGGTGTCCTATGGTTAGAAACATACCTTAGGTATAAGAGCTTAATCCATTTATCGGAGTTGAGTGGTTTTATAGATGATCATTTCGATACATGGTCCACACGTTCATGGACTGGAGTGATGTTGGCTACATAGTTATGCCAATGCAAGCATCATATTTGAGTGGGTCGTATTTACCGGTTGGATGATACTGAAAGTACCACTCTCGAACAACAACGCATCGTACATATACATGCATCGTCAGAGTAGTGAACACAAGGAGTTGGGGACAATGTTACAGATGAGAGTTACATCATACTTAGTGCTTTGGACTGAGCCGGTCAGTTAGTAGCGAACGGGGTTATTCCTTTTGGATTAGCAGTGACACATGACCCATAATGTAACATCCTAATTTTTACTACAAAATTTTTCATTTTTAGTATAGAAAACCTCAAGGGTTATAAAAACTAAGTCAATAAAATCACAGGTATATCAAGTACAATCATCCCAAATCAGAGTATCAAAAATGTGGAATCATAAAAACAATTTGCAAGCCGGAGTGTACAGTCAACTCTTCGACTTCCCACGCTCAATCGGAGTAACTAAAACACATTTAATCCACAAATGTAAGCACAAAACTTAGTGAGTCTTTCCCAAAATATTCATACAACACAACATAATAAACAATTATAGGTTATCAGCAACCTTGGGGATTTTCAGATATCCTAGTTGGGCAACAGCACACCCTGTTGATTAACGGCACGTTTCAGGGGTTATAAGCAACCCTGGGGATTTTTAGAAATCTCGTAGTTAGCAACAATTCAATTAATATATAACAACAATCAACAATTAAGACCCAGTTGGTCACATACAATAATACCATACATGTAACTATAGTGAGAAGACTCACCTCACAAGTAGCAGTTAAAACACAACATCTCTCACACAGTGAAGACTGGTACTACAAAACACCTAAAAAACAATAAAGAAGTACCCACTCAGTCTACACCCTAAAACCTCTAAATTGACCAAAAGTCAATCATGGTCAAAAGTCAACGATCAAATGTCAACAACTCTTCCATTGACTAACCCTCACATCATGACCGTCCCTTGGTCACGTCGTGAGAAAGCGAGTCCATCCCCATCACTAACTCAGTTTCGATTCCACTCGTGATAGAGCTCCTGTCACATCGTGAGAACCTCAAAACAAAACAGTCCAGACACCCAGTCTAGCCTCACATCATAAAGGCCAACCCTTCATGTCGTGATAACTGTTTTGGCCTCTTAAATGCATTAAGTCCTTAATCGATATAACCGTTCGTTCATACTTTCCCGGTGGCTTTCCTACTTTAGTTACAGTATAAAAATCGGTGCTTTATGGACATGCACGTCCAATGCATGTCCCTTTCACTCTATGTCACAATCATGGAAGAAATAGACCCAAACTTGAACTAGAGATCCAAACCAAAAAGACATAGATCTGAAACATACAACCTTAAAGGGACCCCAAGGATCCATAAAGTTGCTAGCTTTATGGAACACTCAAAACTTCACAAACATGGAGAAAAGGGACAAAGCAACCTAGATCTAGAAGTATTAGCCATGAAGCTTGAATCTTGATGACTTACAAAGGTCCAGAAGGTGAGCAAGGTTAAGGATAGGAGATTGTCTTACAAGATCCTGGCACCAAAGGCTTCTTTTTCTTCTAATACTAAAAATGGAACCAATAACACTCAAAATATCAAAAATAGGCTAAGGTTTATGAGGTAGATGATGGAGGCTGAGGGTATGCAAACCCTGGCCCTCATTTCCCTTAAATAGGACTCAACCCCTAGAAATCTAGGGTTCTTCATGAAAGAGTTGTCATGTCGTGACACATACACTGTCACGTCGTGACCTCCATTAAAGATACGAATTTCTTCCGACCGCGATCACGTCGTGATACACTCTTGGTCACGTCGCGACGAGTCAAAATCCTATTAGAGCTTGAGAAAGTCAAAATAACAAGTAATGTATAAATACTTGGAACAAGGTATTACACATAATAGCGATAGTAAGAGTTGCTAACGAGGAACAAATAATAAGTAATTATAGAAAAGAATGAAGAATGGTAATTACAACGATGAATAAAGCGAATAATACTATTTAATATACTTTAAAGATGGATAACTATCGAATGTGTTGAAATACAATGTGCAGAGTTGAAAATGTATTGTGTCATGATAACATGAATGATTGGCCTGTTAGAGAATTATATGTTTTCACTTTGACATTGTACAAATTATTGAATCACTAAGAAATTGTTGACACTTGTTTCTTGTTATATTTGCCTTGTGATTAGGTATCATAGGAGTCTACTTGTGAGATTGAGATGCTTTTGGGTAGTTTATCTTTAGTGTGTTTTCTTTTAGTAGTTGATATCTTGTTGGAACGTATAATGTTTACTTTGTCATTAAAACTTCAAATCATTTCATTTAACATTTAAATATCGTGCTTTTTTTTGGAATTTAGTCACGAAGATAACTCTGTGGTTTTAATTTAAGAACTATTTTGAAATAAAAGAATATTTAAAGACTTCCTCTAACATATTATGTTAAAAGTTTTAAAAAAAATAATGTATAAGTTTAAGTAAAAATCACTATTTTAAACCCATTTGATCCTCAATCTTCATATTATCATTTTTGTTCTTCATCTTCAAATCCAACTACATTTTCTCAAGTTCTGATTTCGTCTATTTCATCTCATTGGGCATTACAAGTTGCAAATCTTTTTAGATTTGTACAATTAGTTCCTCATCTACCTATCTGAAATATTTTCACTCTTTCATCTCTCTGTATAATAATACAACCATATGAGTCCATTATACTTCAACAAAGATATTTGTTACATACGTTAAAGTTAAAATTATGACATCAATAAAACCTTCTACTTGGGTTCAAAGGAGTCCATAGGTAAATAATGAAGCTCCGACTTCATAGTGACCCATATAGATTCAAGCATTTCATATAAATCTCCGCTTCACACTGAATCTTGATAGAAATGATTAAGAAGAATTAAGAAGCTAGTCAGTTAGGGATATAATAAAGTGGAAATCAACCACACAAACTATTCGTGGACATTACATCTCAACGGTCCGTTCTTCACGACATTTTTGGATGTTACTTGTGAAATGATATCAATATTTGTGTGTGTTATTTATCGAAGTGTCGATTCTCATCCAACTATTTACGATCACTGCTAATCATTCATATTATTTGTGAGGTTTGCTTGATAGACATGTTGTTTCCTATGTAAGCAGGCGCATCTTATCACGGTCTTAACATAAAGCGCGATCAATCTACGTTAACGTTACCTAATGGCCACGTTAAGTGTAACGGAAAATGTAACGGAAACGTTACATCCTTCGCTAAGACCCGATCTTGGCCTAAGCGAGCCAAGGCCAGGGCAGCAGCTCATTTGTCATCACATGGTAAGAACATTCCATGTGATCTTCTCATTCATTCACCGCCAATGAGAAGGCAACAAATAGCCCGAGTGACACCCATAACTGACGTCACCTGATAGTTAGTTAGCGTGAATAGCTCTCCCAGTAAGAGGAGGCCACGTTTCATGCTCATGAGGCACGGTCCCCACGATCCGTTAGTAACAGGTACAAAAGGATCTCTTCCACCTCAAGGAAGGGATCCATCTTCTCTCCTGTAAAAAAAAAGTCTTCTCTCAGATTTTCTCCATCCCTCAGAAAAAACTAACTTGGTCGTCGGAGTGACTGTGTTCTCAGGCAAGAGGAGGCCACGTTTCATGCTCATGAGGCATGGTCCCCACGATCCGTTAGTAACAGGTACAAAAGGATCTCTTCCACCTCAAGGAAGGGATCCATCTTCTCTCCTGTAAAAAAAAAGAAAATCTTCTCTCAGATTTTCTCCATCCCTCAGAAAAAACTAACTTGATCGTCTGAGTGATTGTGTTCTCAGGCAAGCTCCCCAAACGGATCCTTCGTTCAGCATCCAAATCATCTATAAACATGTCACAAACTATTACACAAACAACCGAACTCACAAACATATTGTTATTTGCTAAAGATCTCATCAAGGTGGACATATAGAATTCTACAACCTCAGCGATGTCGTTTTATTCTCTATGTTAATTAAGTCATCAAAAAAATGTTAAATTGTATATTTGTCTTCTTCTATGTTAGCCAAAAATAAGATTATATATATTTTGAGGTACTCGAAGTATATAAAGCTCCAACCTGTATATGGACTGAAATATGATCCTCTTATATAGCGATATAAATTTATGATTACATGCCTGATGGTTGAATGATACGTTGAAAACAATGAAATTATTAATATTCACAATAAGAAAGCATATTCACAAATGTTATCAAACCCTATTAGGTGAAGACTAAAAGATCATCTTAAATTATATACACGAAGAATTATCTAATATCGTTAAAAATTATCGATTTTTTATATCGATACAAAAATTGAAGTTCAGAAAATACTCTCATAAAATTATACTACCATGATATTTTTATGAATAAATCAAATTGTTTTTCATAATCTGTCTTATTTTTGGTAAACCTAAATTAAAAGAAAAAGAGAAAAGGAAAAAAGGAAAAGAAAAAAGGAAAAGCACATTTGAAGAAGAAATTTAAGAATGGGAAACAACTTTGAGTAGCAAGTGTGACTTGAGCCATTAGATTCTATTTTTAATTTTTTAAGCACCTAAAGATGCTTTTATTTAATTACATAATGAAAATTTTACACTTAGCCCCCTCCCCCTTCACTCCTCAAATACCGCCCACCACCAACACACCCATTTCACCTTTCTCCGTCTCTCTCTCCCAATTATCACAACCGAAGCTCCGGTCGCACTCATGGGAAGTTACTTCGGCGCCGGAGAATGCTTCTTTGAACAACAGAAGCCGGCCGAGTTCATCACCGGAGGCAATCAGTTCACCATTGATGACTTGCTCCTTGATTTTCCTAACGACGAAGATATCGTCATGAACGAGGCTTATTACGAGAGTTTTAATTCTAATTCAGCTGATTTCTCCAGCTCAAATTCCTCCATCTCCGGCAGCGAACCTCAGTTATCCGGCAATATCAGCTCCTATAGCCTCTCCGACTCTCAATTCTCCGGTGGTGAACTTTGTTTACCGGTAAGTTCAATTCCACCTCCATAATCTTAAGCTCAATTTCCGTTTCTGTTTCGATTTCGTGTTAATTTGAAAACTCAAGCAAACTCAATGAATTAAACTCAATGAATTTATGTGTTGTATTTGAATTATGCAGTATGATGATTTAGCAGAGCTGGAATGGCTATCGAGTTTCACAGAGGAATCATTCTCGAGCGACGACTTACATAATCTGCAATTAATCTCCGCCGCGAACAAAGCACCCGCAACCGCCACCGCTACCGCTACCGCCACCGACACCTCATCTTCCGAGACGACTCGCGAATACCAACACAAAACCACAGGTCCTAACAGAATTAACTCACCGATATTTCAAACCAACGTTTTGGTCCCCGGTAAAGTTCGTAGCAAACGATCACGCGCTGCTCCCTGCGATTGGTCCTCACGCCTCCTCCTCCTCAAATCGTCAACGACCGACATTAACAAGCCGGAAACTACCCACCGTTCTGATAACTCTCTCCGGAGATGCCTGCATTGCGGTTCAGATACAACACCACAGTGGCGGAGGGGTCCAATGGGTCCCAAAACGTTATGCAACGCATGTGGAGTCCGTTACAAATCCGGTCGGTTAGTCCCGGAGTATCGCCCCGCCGCTAGCCCGTCGTTTGTTCCGGCGAAACATTCAAACTCTCACCGGAAAGTAATGGAGCTCCGACGACAACTGGAACTTCAAAATTCACAGCAACAATTGGTGAATCATATCTCAAATTTTGATGGGTGTAACGCCGGCGATGATTACTTGATTCATCGCCAAATCGGGCCAAGTTTCATGCACATGATCTAATCAACATCATCATCATCATCATCATCATCATCCTCATCATCTTAATCATAATCATGAACCAATTTTACGTATTAGTAGCGATTTTAGCGTTAAGATTAGTCTCTTCCAAGAAGAATATGATCTCAATCAAAGAGAAAACAGATAACATGATGAATTCATTGTAGAATTTTGTAATCAGATTTACTAATCGTTGATTTTATCAATTGAATGAAAGTTTCGTTGATTTTAAATATGAATATAAATTGTTTTAATAGATTTAATTTTAGTGTGTTGTGTGGGGTTTAACACAGTAAAAATGCGAATAGTGGAATAGTAACGTAAGCGGCATGGTCCATCGTTGTGCACTCAATGCCACATGCAACCGCTCAAACTTTTATATCAAAGTCTTATCTGTTATCAACTTATCATATTTGATATTTCATTTTCCAAGAATTTTTATTTTGGCTTCAATTTATGAATTTACATTATTACCCTTTAACCCAACCAAAAATGTTCTTATGATTTATCTCTTGATCATTATGGTTGAGACTTGAGACCTTTATTTCATTTAAAAATCAAGACTTTGATTTTAAGCAAATATGTAATGATGAAAATCAAGTTTTACTTGGCTTGTAGGTTTCATCCTTTTTTTCTTTTAAGTTTTTTGTTCAAGTTGTTTGATAAAATTGAAGATTTTATATGTTCTTCCATATATTTACTACAAAATAATTTTTGTCATAAACAATAATTTATGTTTTAGATGAGTTGTACAATATGCAAAAAAAATCATAACATTGTTGTATATATATGGCAATAAATTGTCCGAATTAACTTCTTTTATATAATCATTGTCGTGCTATAAAACTCATAACAAGTTTAACAATTATAGGGATAACTTACACATGACTATTGGGATCAATGACTTTATGTTGATATTTTTTTCCAACTTTGGTATTTTTATTTATAAGTTTACCAATTTACCTCTAATGATATTTGTTTTAAAGATATTTTGATTTAACTATATAGTTTTGCATTCTTTAGAACGTTTCTCTCCTACAATTACCAAACAGTTGTCTTAAATCAAATGAAAGAAGCCTCATTAATTAGTGAAGAACTCTTTAGGCTCAAGTAAACTTTTGTATTTTACTTTATTATTTTTTAATTTTCCAAATGTTTTGATTCTTTTAGCTTTTTGAAATGACAATGTTAACCCAAACAGGAAACGATAATTAGGAAAAATGGTATTAAAACCCACAAATTATAAAGCTATGTTACATTTACACTTTCGAAAGATGGGGAAAAAATGGTCGATAAATTTAGAAAAAGAAAAAGAAAAAGGTACTTGAAAGTACAATGTATGTACAATATAATACATGACAAGAGAGTGAGGGGGGCATACGTGCATGTGAAGAAGCACATGGTACAATAATTGAGGTACGTGAAAGAGAAATAAAAAGAACACGAGATCTATTCAAACATTGCTATTTGTCTACCATGTTCCTACTACTATTGCATTATTTTTCTAATACAACAAACAATGCCAAGTTTTCTCACATTTGAATGCCATTATTTATTCTAATTTCTAAGGCTATGTTGGTAATTTACTTTCACTTCTAACTAGACACTACTAACCAGAACTTATCAACCATCAAATTGGTATTAACATTTTAAAATAGAATTGATTCGGTCGAATCACATAATCTTCATGTGCAATCCATTAAATTTAGGTCCAAATTTTTAACAATTCTATAAAATACAAAAATTAATTCCGCAAATTAAATTGTATTATGAATATAAAAAATGGAAAAAGTTTTTAACTTTTTATGTAAAATAAAATACTCAAAACTAGCTTCCGTTTTTATTTTCAAATAATTATCATTTTCAACGCTTTAATAGTATAAATCAAGTTTAAAACATAAAAAATTATTAAAGATATAAAAATCAATATATTGAGCAAGCAAAAAACACAACGAGCACTAGCTACACGTCCATTCTTAATTGACTAATTGTTCAAGAAGAAATTTAAACATATTAATAAGCACTACATGACTATTCCTTAATTAAAATATTCAATTCTTCTCCAAGAAGACGTCATACATAAACTTTTATAAATAAAATAAACACATGGACAGCAATTTAAAGTTTAATTCCAAATAAAAATCAACACATTCAATCAACTCACATTCCAAATAAAAATCATCCATTCAAAAAAAAAAAAAGATTCTTCATTCTTGTAATCTTCTTCAAACATTTACCTTTAGAATGGTCGTTAGTAAATTTGTAGTCCGAACTCCAAAGCAAATGAAAGATTTGAAAATAAGTAAATATTATAAGTATTAAATAAGCAAAGAAGACAATTCAGTTTAAATTAATAGATAGCCGTTCAAAAAAAATGAAATTAATAGATACTAATCAACAATAACATCTTCAAACTTGCAGGTCCTAGTTCCTCGCCACATCTTTCATGTCCAGAGATGCAATCAGAAAACTCACAGAATAATGTCCCAAAAGGAACTATAAAATCGAAATATAAGAAAGCAATGGATTCTTGATAAAAACTTGCAGGAGATGTTAGTAGAGGACTGTGTAGCAGCGCCGCATTTGATTATCGCCGATGAGAGAGACGACAGATCACAAGCATATTGGTAGAATGTGACTAGGATTTTAATGACCCAGATAAGTAACCCGAGCTAAAACGAAGTGAACAAACCCCCGTTGTATGTGTTATTTGGAATGAATACTCATACTCATCTCATTAATAGACCAAAACAATACATATGTACCATTTACAAAGAGGCCAAGGGACCGTATACTCGTATACTAGGCTGCTAAGATGGGCTATGCAGTGGGCCAATACAACACTGTAACATCCCAAAGATCAAACCTAATTTTTTTTTAAATAAAATCAGAATAAGGATAATAAAAGGGGGTTTCATCCATAACACCATCAAATGGTAATGTATCAAATTGTAATGTATCAAAAGTGGAAGCTAATACTTGTTTTGAAAACAAAGCCAACAAAAAGGTAAACATAAAATGGATGACATGCCCATAGTTACCTAGTTTGCGGTTCGCTCCAGTACGGGAACGAGGTTTGCCATATCTACCGTATCAGGTACGGAGGGGAGTAGGTTTATTTTGGAACGATCCGGTACGGTGTAGCATTTAGTTTGTCACAGTGTACCAAATTCCAAAACCAAAACTTGAACTTTGAGTTAATTTGGGAAATAAAAATATAACAGGAATTAAAAAAGAAGAGTAGAAGTGTAGAACGGATTTAGATGATGGAACTTGGTATGCATTTGTAGGTATATATACATGTTAGTGGTGTTGTTGTGCATACTAGACTCTATACAAAGCGGAAGTTGGAACAGTAGCATAGACTATAGAAACAATCATTGTAGAAGATGATTTAAGAAATTGAGTATTATATACAAATTTATAGTATTCAGAATAAGAAATTGTACATTAGTGTGTAAGATGGTTCGGTGAATCAGAAGAATTAAGAGTCATTGTGGAAGAGTCGGTAGTTTCCCGCCATTCCAAAATCGGTGTACAAAAATCAGAAATCGGCATACTAATTTCATAAATTGAACCTAGAATCGCGTTTTGAAACTACTGGATTACTGAATCAAACTCGTTCCAGGTACCGATTTGGAACTATCTCGACTTTGTACTGATTTACGATCCGAGAATCGTTTGGAACGCTTTTGTACCACGATTGGGTACGAAACGATTTGGTACGGGGTTCATGGCCATCTGAGCGAATTAGGTAACTATGGTCATGCCCGGATGAATGTCCAAATCCCCCGATCACCCCAGCTCTTTGCCCTTCGTACTTGAAGGACCTACAACTAAAGACATAAAGTAGCAATTGCAAGTCTAAGGCTTAGTGAGTAATCACAATACTTGCCTATTATACAGATAATATGCAATAACACATCAACACATAACATCAATCAATAAATAACATTTACTTATATTCTACCACATAACATATGATAGCATAATCATCTACCTCGGATGGTACAACTAGAACTTCCCTCACTTAAGAGATTGTTCTCTAGTAGTCCATCCTGCGACCATTCGTACATGGTCATCCTGACCGAAACAACTGGATTCCCTTTTTTGAGAGGCTTTTATCCAGTTGTTCAATCCATAACCAATTCCCTCACTTAAGAGGCTTTTCGTGGCTTTACATAACATAACCACATAGTCCACATAAAAAGAAAGTTTGTGAGAACTCACATGAAATGTTTGATAAGCTAATCCACATAGAAAGCTAGGTAGAACTGATATTGCCACGAACCACTACATAATAATTAACCCTAATTTAGCAATTAAGGTCTACTTAACTTTCCTCTCTATAAACGAGTCCTTCTCTTCCTAATCCTTGACTTGCCCTTAATCAATGGTCTCAAATACACTCTTACTAACATTTGACCAAAATCAAACTAGTCAACAATCAACGGTCAACGACCCACTGCCTCGTGGTGAATCATGGACCATGTCGTGGTCCAATCCAATGAAACATACGCGATACCTACAACCACCGCGCCAGGGTCAGCTTATGACTGCGTCGCGGTTCGTCCAGTAAACGAATGATAAAAAAATAGCATTTTTTCAGTATTAAATAACCACCAAGAATCACCTCAACAACAAAATGCAATGTAATGCAAGTGCTTCTAAAACCTAACTCAAGTCTACCTCAGAGGCCAAAATCTCACCGAAATATCTAAGTGAGTACACCTCCTTATAATGTAACCAAGTGGATACACCTCTCCATAAAGATAACTTGATAGATTCACCTCCCCATCAAACAAAGTACATGTGAGTTATCACACAAGTATCACATGAAGGGTAGTTAGTCTAAATGTGCAAGTAAGGCATGTCTAAAATATCATCACATCAGTTAACACATTAATACATTATTGGGTACCTAATTTCAGATGGTCACACAAGTCAACCCCTTAAGTGAATGCACATATTCATGAAGAAAACTAGTGTAAAACATAAAAGTTAATTCCTTTGTAAAGAGACTCATTTCAAAAACAACCTCTTAAAGACACACCATCATACATATGATATATACATGGCATAGATGTAATAATGTCATAAAAATATTTAAAACTTATCAACACGTCAAAAATAGGATATGGACATGTATTTTTTGTAATAATAAATAAATAAATAGATAAATAAATAACTCACATTAGCAAGTATAAGCTCACTGCTTCACTCTTAGTGTTATCTAAGAATTTTCCTATAACTCGCATAATTGTATTCCACCAAAATATATTTACAAATAAAGTGGTCGGAGATACATAGGCCACACTAAATAAACTTACAAGAGAAACAACCCAATACATGCATATACAAAAGTACGGCTAACACCTAGTGGGGATAAAACACTTAAGAACTAATTAAGATTAATAATCATAATTATGATAATTAATCTCAAGTTACACTCTTTTTATCATCCCTAAGTTTATAGGAAAGTATAGGAGCAAACTAGAAAATGATTTTGATTTCATTTGCAAAAGTTACAAAATGTGAGTTTTTCCATTAGAAGATTGACTCGACCAAGTCAAATTAACAAAGGGCTTTGAGTCAATCACGTCCAGGTTGATTCGAAATATCTAATCACCAAAAACATGTTTTTTAAGTGTTTCCAAGCAACTAGATCAAGTCCAAATTATTCCTAACTTCAATCCTTTTAGTTCCAAGGACATAACATGATAAATAATCATTCAATAACAAGATTTATTCACTAAATAACATCCTAATTCATGTTAAATCATGATTCAAAAGCTAAATATAGAGATTAAAAAAGTTGGTTTTCCATAATTTACCTAATGAGTTCATGAGTCCCACTTTGATTTTTAATTTAACCAAAATAGCATTAGATCTCTATATGATGGTTTCATTTGATTATTTCAAACTAGATTAAGTTATTGAACTGATAATCCAACTAATCAAATCCAAACACCATTTGAATCTAGATTCGAGTCCCCAAGTGAGTTCATATTCACAAAAAGCTTGAATCCATCCTAATGATAAATTAAGAGTTATATCTCATATGTATTGAGTTTGTAAAATTCAATGGGTGAAAACATATTTCTAGTTTAACTGAATATTTACATCGTGCTCTAGGCTTCAAATCATCATTTTACAATCGTAGGATTCATAAACACCCAAATCAGCTTGTGAAGTTAAAATCAAGCAACATAAGGAGTTGTTGTTGATATAGTGGTGAATTAATGATAGAAATCAATCTAGAAACTCAACCTATACATAGATAACATCCGTTTTTGGATTTGAAGCAAAGTCCAAACCCTATGTTTACAAAAGTGAAGAAGATGACTAGAACCTACACCTTCAAAGGCTCATATGGATGATTTCGAACCCTAATCCTTCCAAAGCACTTCCAAATAGGGGTTTTCAAAAATAAATGAATCCAAATATCCAATCTGGAGATTATCCGGAAATTCGGATATCCAATTTTTCGAATTCGAATACGGGTAGTAATTTCATAAATTTTTGAATATTTCGAATATTTGAAATCCCAAAAATATATTATTTTAGTTTTAATTTTCTATTTATTATGTTCATAATGGATGCTTAATGTTGAATATTGTAATCCTTTTACTACTTAATAAGTTTTTGATGTTTAATTAATAATCCAAGAAATCGTAAAGAACAATGAAACTTGACAGTGGACACCCTTTGATGCTTAATTAATCATTAATCATTTGAAAATTAATTTAATTCAATGGTTTAAAGAGTAATTAATTAACTTAATTTTTCATTGAAAATGATTCTTTACTATTATTGTGAGAAAGAAAGTGATGTAGTTGCTGGAAGCCTAGAATGCAAGTGTTATTGTTACTCGGAGCCTGCAAAAAAATTGTTGGTGGAATTAAGATATGGATTTTTAAACATTTTTATGCCTCTCGAATGATGTCCATAAACAAGTGTTATTTGTATGGTTTAAACTTTAAATTCTTTAAGTTATTAAGTTTGTATCAAGTTTGTTTTAATATATAAAATATGTATATAAGGCAATGTGTTTTTTGGATATTTAATTTTTTCTCTAAAATTTCGGATACAGATTCGGATACTAAAATCCACTATTGAAAATTTCCTCAAATCATCCTTCAATTCCTAAATCGCCATGCTATTTCCCTCTCAAGCTTCCCAAAACTGTTTTCTCCAAATTAAGTGCAGAAGAAAGGGAGCTTATGTTTAAAACTTGTCTTTTTCATACTTGAGCCATTAAACTTTAAAGTTTCCCACTTAAATCTCTTTCTATCTTTTAATCCATATTCTAATCATAGAACTCCCCTAAAACCTTAGAATGTTAGGTTCTTAACATTTTTGGTCCAGATATAGTTAAGGCAAGGGTAAAACCCAAACCCTAGCTTCTTAAATTGGCAACGCTAGTCCCTTGCACTAAATATTTCTCTTTAACCCTAATTTAACTTTCTATAAACTTTTAAACTTTTAAACTCACCAATATATATTTATTTCGTAATTCATTTTATTTATCTATAATTTTATTCAATTGTTTTTTTTATTAAATTTTGAAAATTTTAATTGTTACTAAAAATGACCAAGCTTTTATAAGGTGTTACACCAAATGATGGGCAAATGCAAAACATTTTATTGTCTTTCAGCAATTTGGTTTGTCACATGAGGAACGTTTATTTAATATAGTGAAAAAACTGAATCATTTTTTTATATCATCGATAATGAACAAAGTAAAATATCACGAACTACACATTTAGTACGGAATTAGGAAACCATATTATATTAGATGTTATAAAGTTTTTACCGTTGCTATGATCAATGATTTACAGATCAAGAAAAACCACTATATTTTTAATTAACACCTATAAATAATAAGTAAAGTCGATACTATAAAACACTTGGCTCCAAACTGTGTATACGTTTGCTATATTTTCTACTAGATTTTAATTTCTTTATATACAGTATTTATTTTTATTTTTTTTTATCAAAGACAAAGTGACTTTCACCCTTTTAAAAAGAAAAAAGAAAGTTAATTTTTAGACCCCTTTCACACTCAAAAGTCAAATCACATCGAGGTAACATAGAAAAAGAAAATAAAGAAAATGCAAAATTTTATCCAATTTATCAAACTCGATAACCATATTATATAACACTTTGAAAAATAATATCATTAGCTTATCAAATCTCTTAGCATCAAAAAAAATCCGCAAAAAGAAAACTTTTATCAATCAATACAAGTATATTGATTGAATCATAATACTCGTCATTCCCTGTCTTTAAAGCTCTTATGGATGTTACTCAAACTAGTAGGCTGGAGGGTGTGGGGTGCGGTTTCAGCTGATGTGGCACTGAAACACCGCCCCCTCTATGCGGTTTTGGAAGTGCAGTTTGGGAGTGTGGCAAAAATTGGGAGCGCTCCCTTTCTCTCTCTCTTCCTCTATCTCTCTATCTCTCTCTTCTTTCTCTCTCTCTTCCCTAACTCTCTACCCCTTGGGTGTTGTAAAAACATGCGGTAAAGGAGGGAGTGTGGCACCACTCCCTCCAGTCTTATATATCTTATGTTCGGTTTACCTCTCATATCCTCTCAAATGATGCTCATTATGACACTATGGACAAGCTCATAACATCGATTGATTATTAATGGCATTCTAAAAACATTCAAAGCCTTTTTAATAGCAATCTAACAGATTGTTATGTACCTGATATGTACGACATTATGGACAAGTTCATAACATCGATTGATTATCTAACAGACTGTTATATACCTGATATACCTTTTCACATAATGTATCTAGGTCGCGCAGTACCCAATATACATTTTCATATAATACTTCTAGATCGGACAGTATGAGCTTATGTACCTGATATACCTTTCACATAATGTATTTAGGTCGCAGTACCTGATATACCGTTTCACATAACGCTTCTAGGTCGGACAGAATGAGCCAGCTCAAAGATAACGGGTACTGTAACCCCAAAAAAGTTGGTCTATGTTTTGTGGAGATGGAATGGAAGTTGAATTCGGTAGATAACTAGAATATGCCTAATGACTTTGCCTACCCTAAAACATTATCATGTGCTTTTAAGAGCATATCCATTATCACAATCATTTTCATTCCAAAACTCGTTATAAACAACATAAAAAGTCCACATCATAAACCATCAATCAATTTTGAATCTTTAATTACCACAAAAAACATAAAAACAAACAAAATCCGAACATTAGGCTCTCATTCAACCTTACAATATATATTAAAGAAAAAAAAAATCCATGATTTACCATTTCCATGGAGCAAACTACTACAACCCAAACATCAAATCCATAACTTTGTAGACGAGTGACTTTGAAGGGGAGGCCATGGTTCCACCAGATTGAGAGGTGTTAGCATTACCATTTTGAAGATAGGAAGAACGAGTAGAAGATTTGAAGGCGGAGGTCTCTGATGTTCTGGCGGTTGTTGGTGGTGGCAATGGCATGAATCCGCCATGATTGTTTAGTCTATCAGTAAGAGCTTGACGTTGCATTGGATCCACTGGTTTCACTCCGATGATTAAAGCTCCATTTAGTTGCATTCCATTCTTGCTCAGAGCCTTTTGAGCATCAAATCTACTCTGTAAATCATCAACAAAACTTGAGTAAAAGGGAAGAAACAAGATGAGATGTTTGATACTAAAAGGGGCAGAAATTACCTGATAAAGAATGTGCATCCAATTAGAATCTCTTGGACCTAGAACATGCTTGAGAATTACCCCACATTTTTCACTCCCGAAGCACTAAATTTGTGTCTGCTGGAGAAAACCTGCAAATTAAGATTTCACCATTGTTGACTATAAACATCAAACTGATACTATGAGTTTATAGATACTTGAGAGCTTTGAATCAGCAGACAATAACTATATGTGGAAGGATGAATATAGATATAAGTTGAGAAAATTACCCATAAACAGTAACCCATTCTTCCTCATCAATCGTACCGACAGGCAAAGAATTCCTCTGAAGTTCCGGTCTAGCAACCTCCCTAGGCGGCGGCAGAATCACCAAAGCGCCTGGCTGACGATGAACAACACCATCAACCGGAGAACCTGAAGGTGAACCCGAGCCCTTTCCCTTATCATCACCCACACCTGCGGACCACCAACTCGAAGTCCCCGAGGGGCTCTGATTATGATTCTGATTCTGAAAGGTGTGTGACTGCTGATTCCCGAACAATGAATAGGGCGATGTGCTAGGGTTTGAATTAGGTGGGGAAGACTTGTTGGGGCTTGTGGAAAACAACTTAGACGGCGTTCGAGCGGGAGTTCTAGGGTTCGAATTACGTTCGGGAGAGCCAACGGGATACTCTTGGATCCCAGATTCCGGAGAGAAATCGGATCGATCTTCGAGCGTGAAGGCGGGTGGTGGTGGTAGATCTGAGGTGGCGAAATTTTCACGCCATAGAGCCGATACGGCGGCGGCTTGGCCAGGGGTTGTGAATTTACCGGATCCACTGCGCCGGTTAGTGACAGGAGTGGCTAAATCATTGAAGAACAAGGATTGCCTACCGGTTGATTTCGGTGTCCTGTGAATACTTGAGCTCATTTCCGCCCCTTCGATCGATGATGAAGGTCTAATAAACACGGCAATAGTTGGCAATCACAGGGCGGCTGAAGCTACAAACCTCCGGCTCTCCGGTGTTCAAAAACCCTAGACGTTGGTTCGTGGAGGATTCAAAAGAAGGGTTTTGGGGTTGTTTGGCTTAATTTTGAAGACGATAAATGTTATTCGATTAAATTATGTTTAAGGCCCAAAAAATGAGGGGGAATCGTCCAGGAAAAAGTCAAAAAACCATTGCCGTTCGCAGTTGATTTCGTTTTTTTTTTTTTTACGACAGATGTTATCATTCCATCATTCAATTTAATTTTATTTGATATATTCCTAATATATATTGTTAATAAGATAGTTAAGTAAATATGGAATTGTGACATGTGTTATAATGATAGTGGGTAGGAATATTTGTAGGCATAAAAGATATGAGCCAATTTAATTTCTCAATTTGGAATGATAATAAAAATTTAAAAGGCAAAATACCTACAAATTAAAGGTTACTCTTTTGAATCTTAGGATGGATGGAGTCGGTCGATTTTTTTGGCAGCAGGCTTACGGCGGTACCACTGGATAAGTGGATAGGAATGAGAAAAACCAATAAAACCTAGAAACGGAAAAACTAACACTGAAACCATAACGGAATCGACAGTTTGAGCTTGGGTTTTTCGAAAACAGAAAATTTCAAATTGGTTTCGGTTTTTGGATATGGTAAAACTGAAAGAAACCGAACCAAACCAACTATAAAAAATGTTTACAAAAATACATATTATGTATATAATATAAATAAGTTTTGCATCGTCATAACACAAACATCGGGTTGTTCGTGTGGTTAAGGTGTTGGACATTTGAACCTAAGGTTTAAAGTTTGAAACTGAGTACCTACCTATTCTTGATTTAGTTTTCCAAACATATAAAACCTATCCCACATAAGTACCTACTTATTCTTGATTTAGTTTTCCAAACATATAAAACCTATCTCACATAGTTGGAGTAATGCAAACCAATGCATTGTTCATGTTTATATAGGATGGAACATTAACACCTCTTGATGCTTATATAATGATATTTTCATGTTTAAGTTGGTTCAAGGTGATTTAAACTCATTGAACCTGGAACCGAACCCAAAAAATTGGAAACGACCTGAGAACCAAGACCCCAAACCCAGTGATTTCGTATTGGGTTGGGTTTAAATTATTGAAAATTGGTACTATCGGTTTGGGTTTGGTTTTAGGTCAAAATTGATCCATAGACGCTCCTATCAACGACTACACCGAACCGAAGATAAAGAGTACCACCAAAAGGTGTGGTTTACGTGTTACCTAACATGGTGGAAGACTCTCTCTCTCTCTCTCACACATTTATTATTGAGCATTGACCAACGGTTAAATTAAAAAAAAAACAAAAACAAAAACAAAAACAAAAAATATTTTGTAACTTTTTTTACTTTATTTAAAGACCACACTCAACCACTTCAAAAATCACAACTTCACTCCAATTCCATTCCTAATTTCTCCTATTCATTCAAATTTAATTCTCACTTTATCCAACTCCATTTCAAATAGATTATACTCGTGGCTAATCCAAAAAAACTCAATTCAAGACAAAAACGCAACCGGCGCAACGAAATTGGAAGCGATTCTCAAGATTTTTCATATTCCATTCCCGAAACCCAAATCCCAAACTATCCATAATATGCACCATATTAACCCCAATAATTAGTCAATGATAAGGTTAGTAACTACCATGCCGCTTATATAACTAAAGATGGTTTTGATGATTTGAATTACATCAATGATGTTTTAATAACTTATATGCTACATGATATTCTGTAACTAATATACTATTTTGAAAAAGTATTTTGTTTATGACTAAATGACTACGATGTTTTGGAAATCATTTCCCCATGAGGTTATGCATCCACTTAGGTTGGAAAAAGACTTGAGTGTCCAATTAAATTCATGGTAAAATGACAAAACTAATGACGGGTGATGATAACACTTATATCATATCAAAATGACTAAATGAAGAGTAATGTATGGTGGGTTTTATTTTAGAAAAATGTAGACTTTACTGAGCTACCCAACGACCAATGACTAGTGACAAATGAACACATGATGACTTGTGAAAGAGATATAAGTGTATTACATTGAATCTACTTATTTTGTATTTCTAAGTGATGTTTATTATTAACTTTTAAATGTTATATTATCATGAATGATTAATGAATTATCATTTAGACACAAATTTCTAATAAGGATGACTAGTAACTAATGAATTTTGGCTTAGACACATATGTACAATGATGATGATCAATGAAAAATGACTAAGGAGTTTCACAAAGAATTTAATGATGGTTATATTCTATGAAAGTGATTATTTATTAAATTTCTTTATAAATTTTAAAATGATTTTGGGGGTTCTTATTAGTTTAAAGAGTGTCCCAATTTCCTTTACTTTAAAGGTGATGAATCCTGGTATTACTCACTAGGCATTTCCAATGTCTAAACTATGTATTTATATATTTATATTAAAGTGGATATTAAAGACTGATGTGATATTGGACCTCCGATATGGTGGCAATGGCTTGATTAGATGAGTTCCAGTGGAGATATGCAATCATAAATAGGAAACATGCCATCAGCCGATCTCCGGGAGGATGTCCTGGGAGAGCGCAACGACAATCAAGTCAGTCTCTGAGAGAGAGGTGAGTGTATAGCGTAAGGCTTAGAGAGTGAGGATTCAACCTCCTTACGTTGGAGGCACATGGCCTTTTATAGTAGGTTTAGGGGCACGAATCCCGCTCGTGGAGATAAAAGTGTCAGACCCCGATTGGAACAGAGGCATTGACTAGTACATTGTACCTTTGTCCCCCTGTTCGAGATGTGATTGGCTTAGCCATGATAGTGGTGCGTGCATCTTCACTGGAGTTAACAGGTGTCTGTTTGTAGTATGTCGACATTCCTGTGCGAGTTCCACGATGGATCCCAGGTATCGAGAGATAATATGTTCAAGGTTGGAATAGGTGCTGGATAGTAAGGATGGTTGGTTGGTCGGGCCATGTAGCAAGCACCCTTGGTGGTTTTTAGCATGCATAAGAGGCACGCTATCAAGTCTCCCTAGTCTTATATGTTGTGACATAGGTGTGTTGAGTTGCAATGGATGGGACTAGCCTTTAATTTCTTGTCCCATTACATTTGGTTGCTGACTTTTCGGTTGCATGTTGCAACGATTTCCAGTCATGACGTCAACTGCCATCATTAGGTTTTTCAAATATCCCGCCTATCTATGCTTTTATAGTTCATGCCTCTTCAATTTTCCTCATTCCTGCTATTTGTCTTATTTTTCTCTATGTTTACTCTTTTTCTGCTATAGATTCTCCGATCAACGTCGCCCCAACCCTTGATCAATTTGCTGCTCTCTAAGAGAGATATGGCTTTCAGCCGGAGGATGGTGTGACATTTCCCGGTGAACACGCTAGCTTCATTATTCATCCTGAGGGTAAAATTGGGATATATTTTAAACACTTCGACGCTGGGTATCGTCTTCCGACATCCGATTTCTTTCAAGAGGTTCTTCAGACGTATAAGGTTCACATCAATCAGTTGGTACCCAATGGTATAAACAAAGTAATTGCTTTTGAGATGCTTTGTCGCATCAGCGGGATTAACCCTGATATTTGGGTCTTTCACCATTTTCCATTTTGTTGTTACTTCATATGGTGAAAGTTACACCTTTGATGTCCATAAGCATAGTCATGTTCTAGTGACCGAGCAGAAAAACTCGCCAAAGAACCGGGCGAACTGTTACGATTGGGTTAATGTTGATCGCGTAGGGTTCATGGAGCGGTGCTCGAATTTTATCTATGGTCAGTCCATTACCCTTTACTCGGAGAAGGAGCAGATGGCTAAGGTTCTTCGTTGTTTTCCATGTTGTGGCTGATGATTTCTCGGTATACGTGCTTGCTGGGGGCCGGTATGAGTGCATCTTAGAGGCTTCGTAGAAAGATGTCGGAGTTCTATGTTATGTCGAGAGGTTTGTGCAGATTCTTCTCTTCATCTTCTATTCTCTTCTCCTTCCTTCCCTTTTTTTTATCTGTTCTTTGTATGCAGGTGTCGAGAAAGAGGGTCGATTACATGGATGTACTCGCAAAGAAATGGATGGGGAGTCTCCAGTATCGAGAGGTGGAGCTTATTTACAAGTTTTTACCGTCTTTCCCTTTCCGTAACAAGGTTTTTATTGCTTAAGTGTCTGCCATTCAATATGTTGAGAGGCGTCACGCCGCTTTTGATCCCTCAGGATATGCTTCAATTGATCTTGTGTGCTGACGTTGGTGTTGAGTCTTCAAGGAACAAGTTTGATGGGTTTTGAGCATTCTAACACTCCTAAGGTGTACATGCAACCCTAGAAACCTTGGATATATGTTTGTCTAAAATACATGCAAAAATTTGATTTCCAAGGTTCTTAATCCTATCTAGCATACATGGGGAACTTATAAACATAAAAGATAGCTAGAATTACATACCTTGTAGTTGATTTGATTCCTTGAAAACCTTGAGAGCCTAGCACCCCAAGTGTGATGCCTCAAATGTCTCACACAACACCAAATGCACTTGGAATAAACTTGAGAGAAATGTCACACTACTTGAAATCGGCTAGCCCTCTTCTTTCTTGCTTAAGTGCCGATTTTGGTGAACATAAGGATCCTTATATAGTGTGTTACAATTAGGGTTACACCATGTAAACCCTAATTGTCATGACCTTTCATTTCCATGACCCATGGGTTCTATAACCACCATGGAGCATCCATGGAGCATCCTATGGGTTTTAGCCCAACTTGATAATCCATGGAGCATTAGCCGACTATACAAGTATGAGTGATTTACACAATCAACCCATATATTTAATTAGTCTTCTTTTGATCACTTAATTAATTCCAAATTAATTCTTGATCAATACTAATTAAATAATAATATTATTATATTAGAACTTATAATATATTAATAAACCATAAGTGTTATTTCTCTCATTTTAGTCTATCCAAATGCATGATGCCATGCAACCCAAATGGACCATGCCAAACCGGGTCAAGTACATACCAGAAATAGTTATGGACTTAGACACCTTATCCAACAGTCTCCCACTTGAATAAGTCTAATAACTATAGCTGCAAGTATGACTTCAGGAACCGATCAGCAATCGTAGCTCTTTCAAGGTCTCTCGGAACTGAGATGATGATGATACCCCATTTA